GGGGCAGCATTACATGTGTCAATATGGTGGCTCAATAGAGATGTCCGACCGATGTCAAATTTTGACTTACTAAAAATGTCGTAAAATTCCCGCAGGAGCACCCTTAGCTTCGGCGTTCATCTCTCTCCGTGAGAGCTAATGCCGACCCTGACGTTTCCCACAACATCCGCTTTCGGACACGCCGGGGACGCGTGAACGATCACGGAACCCTATTGAATAATCGTAGTGTTAGACCTGGTGTTTAGGACCTGTATAAACGGCGGCTGGTCCTGGGAGACCAGCATCTGCGCTGCAACCAGCGACATCCCTCGACTAGCATTTGCGCGCAAGGGGGGATCCGCACCGTGCGGCATGCAAGTGCCTGCACCATAGCATTAGCAACATTCATGCGAGTCGGGGACAGAAGAAAAGCCATACGCCGTTCCGACGGCAACTCCAAACATCCCTAATCGATACGAACTTTCAAGGGCATCTTGCCAAGAAAATCAGTCCCCAGTAGGCACGGGACAGCCAGGGCCGTGGACACCAACACGTGGCCCGACAATTGGACATCGGCAATGCGCAACGTAACAAAGATCCAGCCTATTATCCCCAACGAACCACCATTAGTGGCGAAACACGGAGCATCTACCGGCTCCAAAACGTGACATCGGCGTGGCAAAATGGTATAAATCAACTCGGATATAATGGTCGAGGACGTGGCAGTATCCACAAGCATGCGCACCTCAACCCCCTCAACAAACCCGAGCACCGCCGACAACTCCGCGGTTGCCACGACCACGCGACCTGCCAGCTCCGACCACTGATCAGGTCGGAGCAGCCACGCGTTGCGAACACGACCCGCCCCCCCCACCCCCCCCGAACACGCGCGCGACCCCAACACACCGGACCCCCCGATGAATGGAGGGAACCCCGGGGCCGAGTGTGAGGTGCACCACGACTCGCCTTAGAGGGTATGGAGTCGTATGAAGGCGGACGTCCCAAGGCCCGCTGTCGAGGAACCCGGCAGCCCGACTGGACATGCCCCGGCAGGCGGCAGTTGTAGCAGGTGACCTGTCCGTCGCTGGAACGTCAATCAGTGCCCCGCTGATGCAGCGAACATGCGGACGCAGCCTGTCTTTTCCGTGTGACCCTGGAGCCCCGCAGAAGACGCAGAGCACGCCACCAACACCCTGTCACGCTGCAGGGTCTCCTGCGCCAGGATACACCTGCCAATCTTGAGTGAAGAAACCTCCCCGCCGTCGGCGGGAAGCAGTGCGGAGATCTTTGGCGAGCTCCAAGATCTTCTCAAGGACAAGCGCGTCATGGCCATCGTGATCCATGCGCGGATACGCGGCCTTCGCCAGTGCTAAGAGCGCACTCCTGTACGGGTGGGTCGATTCATCGTCACCTCTCCGCCTCACTGCGAACTTCTGGCGGGTGTTCAGCGGAGGCTCAAAAGTGGCACCCATCTGGTCAAACGCCTGCGTGAGGGTGGACCTCTCGGACGGCGGGATGAAGAGGAACGCCACCAAAGCATCGCCATCGAGGGCAGTGGGAAGCGCCTCCAGTGCGTCCGCCTCTGACCACCCCATCACGTCAGCATTCGTAAGAAATCTTTTAAACGCTATCCAATCTCCGCTAGCGGCAACAAATTATTTAATGAAGGGCAGCCGACGGCGGGGCGACTGGACGTCAAATGACGAGGACGTCCCCGCTTCAAGCTTGGCGGGCACCGCGCTCCCCGTCAGCGGCAAAATGACGGTGGCGTTCCCGCCCTTTACGAAATGGCGGCCAAGTCGCCTCGCCCGGACAGCTCCACCGCCCCTTCTCGACGAGGATGGAGGATGCTGCTTGGAGGAGGTCAGTGAGACGGCCATGCGCATCCCTGACGAGCTCCTCAACAGAAGGTGAGGAGCCCCGCGCCCCGGTTGCGCCCTGCTCCGCGGCCAGTGTCTCCGCTCCGTCCTCGGCGGCAGTGGGAGGAATCAGCTCCTCGTCGTCTTCAGCGTCCGACGCACGTACACGAATTCTGCGACATGTAAACATACTCATCTACTGCTAGCTACAGCTTAGCAAGTTGGCCACTTCCGACACCAGTTGTAGTGAGTCCCAACTGAGTCGCAGACATTATCTTGGGAGCAACACTATCCATTCACAAAACAGTACGTAACATAACACAACCTACGCTCGGGTCTCGAATGCCCATCTATCCACGCTACGGCAGATCCAGACACTGTTCGCTATCCCGGTCCAGACCACAAGCTGGGTCCCGGACTGCGTGGCTAGAGGCTTCTCCCCGACGTGGATCTTCGAACACCAACACTTAAAGAACCCCGAGCTCCTCACAGAGCTCTCATTATATGCTCGTGGGCTGGGGCTGGCTACGCCCTCAGCCCCGCCCACCTTCCAGGCTTCTCGAGCTCCTTCTCGAATGTTCCCGAGAGCCCCTCGGAACCACGTGACCGGCCCCTGTTCACAGATGACCCTCCTCCAGTATTGGCCGGTCACGTGACAACAGGTCAGCCAAAGTGTCATGCCCCAGAGTAACCCTGGCTGGCTGACGCTCCCTCTCGCTCCCTCACTGGGAGCCGGCACCGCACACTGCTCGCGGTGCCTCCGCGCTAACCAGCGCTCACCCAACCACCGCTAGAGCTGGTACTGCAGCCCATAACCCGGGCTGCCCGTAATCACAACGTTACCGGCCGTGACTTCGCAAGCCCGGCACCATACAGTGAAGCGTACAGTCACTACAATTGTATAAGTGGGAATGGTGATTATTGAGTGAGTGAGGTGAATATATGAGTGAGATGAGTGTGAGTGGTGAGTTGTAATTTTGTTTGCTCTGTGTAGGGGCAGCCATCCAGCGGCGTAGGCCTTTCAGGGGTTAAGAATACGGGCAGTCCACATGTGACAAAGCAGCAATTCTTCACCAATGGGGTGGCCTGACTCATTTCCGCAGTGGCATCACATCCTTTTGTTAATTTTTAAAATGTATTCGGTGACAGAGAAGAGACTCTTCCTCTTCAACGGTGTGGAGTATTTCTGCATTTTGGTTAAAGACCTCATTGTTATTTTGCGTGTGCATTTTTATATTACAACATCAGCACATTTTCATGGACAATATTCAAAGGTTTGTGTTAACATAGATATTTAAGGGGCCTCTGGAGATGTGTAGAGAGAGATGAATGGTGAACATGAGACAGAGGGAAAGAGTAACGATGTCAAAGAGTGGCAAGAGGGAGAGCTTATTGCAGAGACAGGACAAAAGCCATGGTGAGAGACGAGAGGGTGTGTCGGCTGAAGGTGAGAGGGGGATGCGCAAACCTTGCTGAGCGAGTGCTGCCTTATCATGGCGTCACTGCGCCAATTTTTTTTTATTTTACTCATCGGAGTAATGTCTGGGGCATTATTTTTTTGCCTTCTGTAACGACAATCAATTAAATAAAAATGTTAAGCTCATTTCCTGCGGTGAATGATGTGTGGTAATAATATAACGCTGACAATTTTCGCAAATCATAAACGCAGACTTTACTAACGGGACGATGTTTATGGCACGGAGAGATCATATGGCACAGTAAATACAAGTTATATTTCTATTTTTTAAATGACGTTTGCTGAGCACACCTACAGTGACCCAAAATGCCAAGTGGCTAGCAGCAAACAGCACTGTTAAAGTCGTAATTGATATGACCTAATATGATTAATTGTTTGTGTCGTTTAGGTTAGCTCATGTAGGTATAATGCCAGTTTTTGTACTTAACCCTTCAGCACCCGACAGACAACTCAAGTTGTCACGTGTACCAGCCAATTCGTTTTTTCACCAAAACCAAAATATTTTAACCGCGAGCAGATTTTTTAAATTAACTTTTGCTGGAAATTACATCCAGCATCGCCGAGCGCTAACAAGAGCTCAGCTCTCCTCTCGTGAAAGAGATTCCTGATGTGGGTACTTAAGTAGGTGCCATGACGTCATCAGCACAGTCACGTACTAATCCAGTTTAATAGCGGATAATAGGAGTTGTGGGTACTAGGGCCATGGATAAGAAGATTTCTCCTTGGTTATCCATTCCGGATTCCTCCAGTCCAAATAAATGATTCTGATTCATGACATGTCAGGTGAGATTGTTGTGCAAAGCATATGAATACTTTTACCTTAGATAAGAAGATCATTGTTCATATGATGGGCAGAACTGGAATTGCCAGCCTTTTACATATTACCAGCGAATGGGTTTGTCCAGTTGAACGTGACCAGGTTTTGATGGTTAAAGCCATTGCGTGATATGTACTGTCATCTGCAAAGGAGGGGACCGTATTGTCAAGATAATAAGACAGTGCAGATGAGATGGTAAAGACGTCATGAGATGGGCAATATAACTAAGGCACAGAATAAACGCACGTTATGATAGAGTAGACCATACATATGAGAGGTTACAGAACGAGATTATCTACCAGACATACAAAAACATTGTTTATCAAATTTAATAGCAATCACCCATTACTTATGTCCATCATCAGAGAACATAGCTGGGACACCTATAATTCCTCATGCCACCAAAGAGAAAAGCAAAAAATGCCTTGTGCTGTGCACTGGAAAGTGAGATATTGGATCAGAGTGCTTTGGGCTGGGTGAGTCGTTACATAGTTATTACTGTATCCAGCTGTCAACCTCTGCTTTTGTTCTCTCTTTGCTTTGCCAAATGCCAGCCTGTGATTAGGAGTCACTGCTAGTAATTATAAAAGTATTATATAGCGCCATTCAAATAAGTCTCACAGCGCTTTTCAACACAATCCCAGTAAAAAGCCTTAACATTAAATATAAGAGTAAAACAACCCTACACAAACGGATATGCAAGAAAAAATAAATGTGTTTTCAGACTAGCCTTAAAAACCTCGACAGACGGAGCATCCCTAACGAACTGAGGTATGACATTCCACAATCAAGGCGCCTGACTACTGAAAGCTCTATCACCCATTGCTGTTGATGAATGTGATGAGTTTGTCTATGTTTGTGCCTCCAGCCCATCCCACATGGATCTGGAGACCGGGATTGCAGAGTGCACACTCGTCCTCAACCTCTTTCTCAACAACAAGTTCTCGGAGGCCCTGGAGAAGCTGCAGCCTTGGTATTTGCTCCCACGCATGCTTGACCACGGGGGGGGGGGGAACCCTTGTGTTCCTGAGTCGTGCTCACCAATGCACGAAACGCCTACCACCATTGGTTGATTAATTTTCCGCATACTCGCTCACCCACAAATCGCGCTCTCTCACCGATGATTCACTCCGTCACTCTCCTATAAAATCGTGTTCACTCGTTCACAAGTCTTCCATATACGCTCACTCTCCTGTGAATTATGCTTACGCAGCTGGTGTACACACTCATCCACGTATATCCCTTTATCTCGGATTTGAAAAGAGCAGGCTATTTTGTGCCTGCTTCATGATCCAAATTTGCCAAATTAGAAAATTACATTGTTAATTACTCAATTGCGATTGCACATAATGGTCATCACCACCTACTGGCAGACTATTGCTGACTTGCAGGGAAATTTTGAGTCGCCTCGTGCCACACCCGAACAGCTGTCATGAGAGGTCCCCTTCGAATGTGTGAGATGTAATGTAAGGCGCTTTTGATTTGCTGATGGTTTAAGCCATGCTATACAAATGCAAGGGTGATTACCGTTATTACCGTAGTCTTCCAGCAGTCACACACACACTGCCTATCTTGAGTGCATAATATGCATTCATAGAATTAGTATTTTTTATAAATGCATTTGTTTTTAATTTGGAGCTGCATTTGTATATTGATATTTTGCACACATATAAATTGTATTGTGTTGGTTGTGTTGAAGATGGTTTGAACAGGAATGATGATGATGGTGATGAATGATGGTGGGAGTGGTGGTGATGTGTACACGATAGGGGATGGCTGGTTGCCGAAACAGACAGAGTGGTCTAAGTGATTCCAGCGACCGAGGGGAAGAGAAGACCGAAGGCTTAGTACATGGATACTGTCAGGGCGGATGTTGGAAGTCATGTGTCGGCTGCGGGATCTGGCAGAGGGTAAAAAGCGTTGGTGAGGTGCAGTAGTGGCATCACCAGCTTGAGCAAAGAGTGACATCTCGATCTTGAACGGGGGGAGGGTGATGGGGGTGGTGGTGTTGAAGGCTTTCCTTGTAATCGTGCGCGTAGGTCCCAGGACAGCATATACCATGCCCTGGGATACTGCACCATTCTTGGCCTACAGGCAAACATGACCTTCGACCCTCAGGACATCGCGAACGCCATCGGCTCCACCAAAGCATCTCTGGACGCTTGTCACAAGTAGGTCGGTCTGGTCACAAAGTTACTCGATGTTGAAGGTTTTTGCGCTCATCCTCTTTACATTGGCCCGTGCTTTTAAGGACAGAGTACCAATATGTAGAAGACGTTTTGTGTTAATGAGCTATTTGGTTGAAAGGCATTGGAGATGTTATTTTGTGATTTTATTGTTTAAAATAAAAGGCTTATTTGTGTTGAGTGAAGTAGTTGATTAAATCATAACTCCCACGTATGGCACGTTGTCATATCGGGGAATAATCTTTGAATAAACACCAGGTTATCGTTGGAGACTGCTGAATTTCAATTGCCATTATGTGCCTGGCTTGTAGACCATGATATATTATTTTTTATTTTATTTTTCTACCTACGTGACTTTACCGAAAGAACCAAAGAGTCTGAAAAAGCATTTGACTTGGTAAAAATTGAAGCGCTCACAAACATGGCACAAAATAAAACATTTAGAAATAATACTGTCTATTTATAAAATGCAAGTCGCACTAAGGTTACATTTAGATAGTACCAACATGCATTTTTGTGTACTAGGTTTCGGAGAAAAGTGAGCATTGCGGAGTCTCTAAGCAGCTTTCTGAACCGACCAACGGCAGACCGCTGTACAGAGGGTGAGCATTACACGTGCGAACACGTAATGGTTTACTCTCTCACCACTTGCATCTCCTCGGTTGCACTTAACTCTCCTGCCTGAGTCCATGTCACGTGGATTACTGCTCTATTTGTCCCTTGGTAACATCTCGCCACGGTGGCCATGGTGGCGAGATGTTATCTCCATCACTTGGTATGCAACAGGTTTTGGTTTCGGTTACGACCATCACGCCTATGTATTTGGAGTTTTCACATTCTTCCCATGGTCACGTCGATTTTTCTCTAGTTCCTACGGTTTTTGACTTCACATTTCGAAACATGCGTTTAGATTATTTGGCTGTAACTATAAAACTCCACACGATAAGCGACTTGATTGGCTTATGTGGAAAAAGAGAATAGATTAGTGGGCTTTGGCTGGTAAAAAAATTGTTTTTAGTTTAGTTTAAAAAATAATATATCTTTCAGTATCTACAAATAACAGCATCCTTAGTTCTCTCCATTGCTGAGGCACTTCCAGTTGTGTTTAACTATGATGTGTCTGTAGAATAATAGTATTACTACTATAATGAGCCAAGAATGTGTGTAACGCATGTGACGTCACTCCACATGCCGCACCCCCCCCCATCATTAATATTCATGAGTAGGTGAGCAGGTGGATTTTTACACTCACGTAGAAGAAGGTCGAGCGGAAAGATTATTTTTCGCAAATTCGCTTTAAGTTTCACGTTTCTTTATTGGAAGTGAATCTAATAAATAATTATTCGCAGAAACAAAGTGGATTTGGTGTTATTATTTTTTTCTTCAGTACTTGAGACAAAAGGTAAGTCTAATTTATGCTTCTACATTATGGTAAAATAGAAATTTCTCGGTGATTTTCCAGATATTGTATCGATTTCCAATTTATTTCAACCCCAGCGACTGAAAGCAGAAGAGAATAAAGTATCAATGCAGTGAATTTGAACAAATTGAAGGTCAGTTATATACAGTGCTACAGTGACATGAAGTGAGGTGTTTTATGACATAGTTTTGTGCCAGATTCACTGCCATTAATACAGTGCTACAGTGAAATGCAGTCAGGTATTTTATGACATTTAGTGCAAGATTCACTGCCATTAATTTAGTGCTACAGTGAAATGCAGAGGTGTTTTATGACATTCTTTTGTGCAAGATTCACTGCCATTAAATTTACACAAGATACTATTATACTCTGCTCAATTTTTTCATAAATATTACAGCTACCGTCCTAGGACGGGAAAAAGGCTAGTATTAATATATTTTTTTGTAAATACTTTTTTCAGGAAATTAAATGTTGAAATTATTTATGACAAATAAAAAGAGCCGTGATAATCAGCGACAGTTATGATTCCAGACTTATTCAAAATGACGATATGAGCGCTGTTGGTCTTACACCCTGCGGTGTTTTGCCGGATTACCAAACCACGGCAATCCGAGGGGAGTTTCCCGGTTAGGTTCTGAGTTGCACTGTAATGATCGATTTAGCTGAGATTATTCAGAAGGTAGGAGATAATATATGTAAGAAATTGAAGAGTGGTGATATAGCAGAGAAAATTCTAGAAAAGAGACAAATTCGAAATAGGAGAGAGAGAGAGATATAATCATAAACATAAAATTTGGGAATAATGTACTGGGTTAGAGATGTGTATTTAGGAGAGGTAGAATGCACAGCTGTGATCGAAAACATGTTGAGTAGAAAAGAGATTCATCTTCTTGGTTCTTTCGGTAAAGTCACTTAGAATGGAAATCGAATAATAAAGATAAAACATATTTTTATAAAACAAATTTCATTATGTTTTATTTTTATTATTTTATTTCCATTCTACGTGACTTTACCAAAAGAACCAAGAAGATGAATCCCTGCAGTCACAAAAGCTTTAAATCGAAATTTAGAAAAGAGATCTAAGAGAGATATATACATACTGTGATCTTAGCTGTCTGAAGTGAGGGCCCCACACCCTCCCTATGCCACGAGCCACCTCTGGCTTTCAACTCCCACACCCCCACGTATGTGTGTATGTTGAACTTCTTTCGCACCGTACGTAACCAACCGTGCTAATTGCCCATGCAGAAAGTCACTGCAATGACTTCATCTTGAGCTAGATAAGCAACTTAATTATTTCACAGATTCATGGGATTTGATTACTTTCTGAAAGTTTATTTTAAGACAATGATGAAACTATCCCTGGATCTGACTTATGAGCAAATATTCGGTGCACCCCTGATCCCTACCTCTTTCACCAACTATCTCCCTCCATACTCTTTGGTTCTCTTCGGTAAAGTCATGTAGGTAAAAAAAAAAATTCACGACGTTTCGGCCACAACACAAGTGGCCTTTCATCAGGTGAAGGGACCAAACTGTCCAGAGGACAGCGTTGGAGTGAAGAAAGCCAAGCGCAGGTTGCCTCCTTTTAAGCTGTGAGGGGGTATACAGAAAATGCCTTGACAAAGGAAATTAGCATAAAATGTACTACTGTGAAAGCTTGGAATTAGCATAAAATGATATTACACCACCTTGGAAGTTTGGAATGCCACTACTTGAATAAATATACTGTACCATTGAAAATTAGTTTAATGTTTGGTTCGATTTAGAACATCTTTCCAATGGTTGCTTAATTTGAAACCATCTTCTCGGTTGAAATTGTGTCTGTGTTTGTAAATCTGAATTACCTCGTGAACAAATCTCTGATAAAAACCCGTGGGTTTGCAAAGAACCTTGGTATCGGAGAAAATTATATCGTGATCACCCACAGCGTTAACAGTGATCAGCTACGGCAGAATAATTCGTTCTGCCGTATTTCAAATCTGATTTGTGCTCGCGAATTCGGTCAGAGACATGTCGTTTCATTTCCCCGATATAGCAGTCACCACAGGTGCAGATCAATTTGTAAACCCCGGGGTACTGTAAGTCAGGAATGACATCCTTCACGGAAGGGATCAGGTCACGGATTTTGTGTACTGTATTGAACCGGACCAGGATCTTATGTTTGTTTAGAATTTTGGAGATCTTTTTAGTAATGCTTGCTATATATGGTAGTGTGATGGTTTTGATCGGAGTATCAAGTGGTTGTTTCTGTATGGAGGGAGAAACATGTCTCTGACCGAATTCGTGAGCACAAATCAGATTTGAAACACGGCAGAACTAATTATTCTGCTGTAGCTGATCACTGTTACAACGCTGTGGGTGATCACAATATAATTTTCTCCGATACCAAGGTTCTTTGCAAACCCACGGGTTTTTATCAGAGATTTGTTCACGAGGCAATTCAGATTTACAAACACAGACACAATTTCAACCGAGAAGATGGTTTCAAATTAAGCAACCATTGGAAAGATGTTCTAAATCGAACCAAACATTAAACTAATTTTCAATGGTACAGTATATTTATTCAAGTAGTGGCATTCCAAACTTCCAAGGTGGTGTAATATCGTTTTATGCTAATTCCAAGCTTTCACAGTAGTACATTTTATGCTAATTTCCTTTGTCAAGGCATTTTCTGTTTACCCCCTCACAGCTTAAAAGGAGGCGACCTGCGCTTGGCTTTCTTCACTCCAACGCTGTCCTCTGGACAGTTTGGTCCCTTCACCAGATGAAGGCCACTTGTGTTGTGGCCGAAACGTCGTGAATTTTTTAGTTTTATTTTTTTATTTTTTACCTACGTGACTTTACCGAATAGAACCAAAGAGTATGGATCCTTGCAGTCACGAAAGCTTCAAATCTACTATCTCCCTCCATCTAACATCATCGCTGTTCATCTGTCTCATGGCTTACTCACCCACTCTGCCCCCATCTCACATCACATCTGTCTGTGCGTGTCTCTAGCTTTCCAAATTGCTCTCGGGGTGGTGGCCACATGACTGTAAGCCAGCTCTTTGGTTTTAGGATTGTTGTATCACACAGACCTGTACTGGCAATCAGGTGCTTATAAGAGGCAGTACAGCAAATCTGATGCGGAGAGCTGATTTTGAGCATCGTCCCCAATGCTGTATGTCTCATTGTAGACTCTCATAAAAGACCTCATACTTGGCAAGGTTTTCCAAGTAAACTGAGTAAGTTTGACATGTAGGCTCTCGCGACCAATATTGTTCGTAATAAAGTTTTTTGGGGTTTGATCGTTTAAGTATAAATGTGTCATTAACCCACCACCACCCGACAGCCAACTAGTAAGGTTTGTCACATAAACAAAACATGCCAATTAGTTACTACTTCAGCCCACTGGTGTGTTGGAGAGTAAATCCACAACATTTACAATTTGAGTACAACGTTTCGCTGCTAATTACATCCAGCATCGGACTATTTTGCCAGAATTGTGAAGAGATCTACCTGATTTTGGTCTTAAATATAGCCAGATGACGTCATCACTGTGAACCAAAGATGTGCAGAGAGCAGAGGGAGGTTTATTGTAATTATATTGCAATACATTGTTCATCACTGTTAATTAGCTGCATCAAGCCTGTAGCTGTCAAAAGGGTGAAAGTTATTTGTATTTCTCTGAATTTCAATAGATTCACGAATTAGTCTTGGCCAGTAAAAATTTGTTTTACACCACACTTCAATGTTATAAAAAATTAATTGAATGGCCTTGTTAGCAAGCATGTTCTGCAACTGCCGACAATTGTGTTTGAGTATTTCATATTTCTTTTGAGTTATTTTATTCTTAACGCTAATTTTTCATCCCCTTTGTCCAACATACCATTTACCAGAAAAACTATATATCCGATACACACCTGATAATTTCGGCAATGCATCTTTATTACAGGATACTCGTTTTATATATTGTGTAACATGCCAAATCTCATTCAGATTTTTTGTTTTTCCAAGACTCTAGTTTGTCAATGTACGGTATTTTAATTAAATCTTGACTTAAAGCTTTCGTGACTGCAGGAATTCATATTCTTGGGTCTTTCGGTAAAGCCACGTAGATAGATCAAATAATAAAAAATAAAAATAATAACAATATCACGACGTTTCGATCGCAACACAAGCATTTGTCATCAGGTGAGA